TCGAATTATTTGAAATCGTGATCATTTTCAATTGAAATTATCTTCGTGGAAAATTTATTAACTTGTAAAATTATATCATTTGCGTGAATTATATAAATTTTGCGAAAGAGAAGAAATCAATTTTCAATTTTATCTAATGGATATTTAATTTATCCCTTTTGATATCGAAAATTCCAACGTCCATTGAAGACATATTTTAGACACAAGGTATGGATCTTAGTTTGATATATTCCGATGAACCCGAAATTTCGCGTGCCTGCAATTTTATGATTTCCAGGATCAGCGTTTTACAATTAACGACCGAGAACGTGCTCCAGCTTTCAACGTTGCCCCTCTTAACGATCCAACTTCGTTAATTCACTGTTTGTGACATAATCTTGATTCCACGAATATAAGAGAGATCTAACTACGTTTAACAAAATTGTACATTTAATTACTAATCTTGCAGGTACAATATCAGAGAACAAAAATTATTTTCAATTTTTCGCAACTTTTATTTTTAATTCTTCGTGTTATCTTATCGCATTATCGAATTTCAAACTTTATCCCCAACGAATTTTCATTTACAACGTTCTACGAGCCATCTATAAAACTTTGATAATTTCATTCTCGGCAAGTTTAACTTTTGCTAGTCGCTTTCGAAAAAAAAATTAAGGAACATAAAAATCGAATGAACTGCCCGAGAAACTTTTTCTAAAAACTAACTACGGTCGAGTTAAACGTTCTCGCGATAAACACACCTATCTTCGATAATCTCATAGCCGACAAATTTGCACCTCCGTGTTGCTTCTTACTCCGTGTGGCTGTACATTGTGGTTCAATAGGTTCTCGATGGTCGATACCGGCCTTCTAGATAACAAATGGCCGTGAACCTTGTCGTCCCAGGTTATATCTTACTTCACGGTGGATGGAAGACAAAGCGTTTGATTATCGTTCCTCGTCCTATTATTCGTCGATCCTGTCAAGAATGATTTTTCTTTTACGAGTTAATGCGATGATGTAATAATAATAGTAATAATATGAAGATCGCAATTTGAAAAAAGAAAGATTGTCCTGTTTTAATTCCAAGTGAAATACGTAAAATAAAGTAAGATTTATAACGTGTCAATGGATATTTATTACGATGATTATATCATATATCGCGCAATTTTGAGATGAATTGTTGGAGGGAATGGCAACAAGTAAAATATTAGCAAGATCGTGAAAAATTTCATTGTGGAGAAATTGTAGCGCGTAAAAAGTAATGAACGAAAAACGGGAGAGGAAAGTTCAAAGAAGTTTAAACAAGTTTCATTCGAAATTAACTAGCTTTAGCCGCTAATTATAATGGTTCTCGTAACCCGTGGCGCCCCTGAAACTTTTCGATTCTCTCGAGTCCCTCATATTTGTATCAAATTTTTCGACGTAAAAAAAAAAAAATCATCAAGATCATTTATTATCCAATATTGAAAGTAATGCAGAAACACAATCGTCGTCGAAAAGAATCCTAATTATTGCACCGTTAACAAATACGAACTACGACTCCATCTGAAACGTTTATACTTTATACTTCCATCTCGCATTAACGCACTGTAAAACTCATTCTCGTAAACCAACTAAACAAAAACACATTTTCCTCGATCATTCGAGGATACGAAAGGATAAGAAGGGATCACCCTTTTGCGGGGATCATTGGCGTAGCCGCAATCCAGACTAATTTACCAGAGAACATTCTCGTTGGACCCTTACGATTGTCACGGTTTCCATTGTGCCCATGCGACGCAGGCTCCTCGTCCACGAGCCTCGTTCCACGCACACCGCATCGGCGCACAATTATGGAAACGAGTAAGATGGTCTCTAGCGAGGAATAGGGAAAAAGAAAGAAGAGGGAGAGGAAGGACTGGTCGCGTAAAAGGTGTCGAGGGACGAGAGTGGTTGGAGAAAGGGGTTGTGTACTCGAAAGAATGCGATACATAACTTGCGAGCACACGGTTGCAACCAGTCACCGACACGCCGCGATACCGTGGTGTGCGTGCCGTCACCTTCACCGCGTCAATGAACCACCCCTTTTAAGGCTCGCTCCCTATATACGCCTCGCCCGCGTTTAGATAACAACCGTGCCAACGCTTGTACACGTCCCTTAAGTACGGTTTCGCGTATACAGTAAGTACAGTTCCATCTAACCTTACCCTGTTGTCATCAAGTACGCTGAATTTCGACCGCAGCCGGCCTCTACTCCCGTGGTAGCAGAGGGAGAGTGTTCCAAGTCGGGTGATAATGTCGTGAAAATGAGACGAAAAGGGGGGGAGTACTTTTTTTCCGCCACTCGGAGTACATTTTTTTCTCAGAAGAATCAAATTTGAAACGATTTTGAAACGAAGACGAAAATTTGATCGATCTCGATTTCGAAAACAATTTGATTATTTTTGCATGTGTGTTCTTTATTTTTATTTAATCTCGATCTACTTCGAGGTAAAGAAATACCCTAATTCTTCCTCCTCCTTCTCTCTTCTTATGTATTTTTGTAGATTGTAGATTCAAGCGTTGTATATAGATTGCGTCGCGTTGTATTCCTTTATCCTAAAACTGCGAAACGTTTCTTGTTCCGCGGCCATCGATGCATTTCGACAATTCTTTCTCCCGTATATATATATAGACCACTTGGCTATGGAAGCCGCGAGCGAATTGAAAAGACTATGATGAGGACGAAGGGAGGGGGAGAGAAGGAGGGAGGAATGCGCCATTCACTTAAGGGGCGCGTATACGAGGATTTCGCGTACGTTTCGAGGAACGTGCGGTGAGATTTGAATGTCCGTGCCTCGAGGAATTGTACTTGCACGCAGGTGGATAGCGTAGGTGACGATCGCATCGAGCCTTTTTCTCTATGAATATTTTCAGGTTACTCTCGTTCTCGAGCTTCATTGATATGCGTTCACGATACGATGAGAGAGAAATTTAACGTCAAATTTTTCTCAATTAATTCGTGTTATTGAAGAAGATTTTCGAAATGCATTTGTCTGAATTATTAATTTGTTTCGTGAAAAGAATTTTATTCGGTTACATTTCTTCGATCATTATTTGTAGGTATTTAAGTATCGGTGGTTTCGTGGCGAATTACATTCATAAAATTGCCCGCATTCACACGTGGAATAGAATAACGTCCGATTGATTCGTGCATTTTTTCCCCCCCTCTGACAGAACTGATCGACTGCCTTTCCATTCATTCATCCAGGCCAATGATAAACCATCGTAAATCAATCTTCTTTTTATCGTTAGCTTTCGTATTCATTTTCCTATATATATATATATATCGATTTACTCTCGCAGTCGGGTGCCCGATTGACCCCATATTCTCTTTTGTTACGTCTATCTGCCGTGCTCTTTGTGCAGCGTGACTATTTCAACATGGATTGCTGCCATGCTCGCGCGACAGCTAATAACTTGCAGTTTGCTGCCCGTTTTTTGCAACTGACAGTTCCAAATTTGTCAAAAACTTCTTTGTCCCCCCGTTACATTTTTATGATTGCCTATTATTCCTTGTAACGAAAAACTGATAAGTCTACAATTTGATTAGTTGTATAAAGTATTTACTATTCGACGATTGAATTTTGTATGAGAAATTGGTCGATAAAATGGCAATGAAAGAAATTTATTAATATATGTTATCTCGAACAAATTTTTTTTCAAGCTGAATAAATTAATCTCAAAATCCAAGTTTCAACAGGTGGTGAAGAAATAATAATGCAAATTAAAAGTTTATTCAAATTATGCAAGCAAGTTTGAAACTACTAGAAACCATGTACACGAAGAATTTTAAATTGTTAAAAAATTCAGCAGAACTTGTAGTTTCCTTTTTAAATTTTTATTTTCGATCGTCATTATTAAAACAAAAAAAAAAAAAAGGAGATTCAATTACTTCAACCTGTATCGCAACGTCACGCGTTATTTAACTACGAGGAAGATAAATATCAATGTTCACAATTTCCCGAAAACCCGAAAAAACCTGGCAACTCACGAACAATTTCACGGTGGGCTGTAAATAAAGCCCTATTCCGCGCGTACCTTAAATCCAAATTAAAAGAGGTCCCCGCGGCTCGTTTCGCGGTCAGGCGCGAAACTTTTTAATCATGCACGACCACGGCCCCCGGCCAAGTTTGGCCGAAGTCGCGGAAAATTAGTTGGGGGCTGATTAAAGCGGAACGCGTTACAGGGCGCAATTAAAAGTGACGTGAAAAATGTATAGCCTGCGTTAATTATGGTTCGGTGACGCGTGGCCGTATCAGGAATTTAATAATGCGATTCGCGACAGGTCGATGTTACCTGACATTATACAACACTGACTCGTGGGATTTTGCACGGTGCGTTGAATGGAGGGAAAAATTCGAAAAGTTCTGTTCTAAAATTCTATTCTTGTCGTGAAATAATGTATAGATTTTAATCTTTGATTAAGTTTTTTTTTTTTTTCTTTTTTTTAATGGTTCCAAGATCATCACACATTGGACGGTGTCGCGATGGTTTTGTTTGACGATCCTTGTTTATTAAAAAATTATTAATCTAATCCGGTCCATATATATCGCTTCGAATCAAAATTAAATCAAAATTTTGTTTTAACCGTCAGCCGATTTTTTTTTTAATTGGATTTGAGCTAATTCTCTTAATCTGGCCAGCCATCAACCTGTCCCTGTCAATAAACTTGATTAAAATTAACCTGACTCGACCTGATCTAAATCGTTTTAAAAAAAAAGTTTTTGTTAATAATTTTTTAATGAACAATGAATAGCCAAAAATAAACGACACACTGCTCAGAGTGACTTCGATGTATTAAAAAATCCAGGAAAATCCAGTGATAAATAATTACCGCAACTTTTAATCAACGTATCGTTAAAAATTGAAGCTTAAAGTTTTCTTTTTCAAAATTCGAAAATTATGATTTTTGTCATATATATCTAATGTATCGATCATGTATGGTAAAAAACACGTGGGCTGATTTAATAAAGAGCCATCCGTCTTTGCTGTTTCAGTGTCACGCGTACACGGGGATTGTCGGCATTTACGTCGTCGAGGAATCTTCGAGGCAGCGATCAGGAGCGACACATTGATGCGACGGCGATCGATCCGTGGACCAAGTGACGAGGCACCGACGCGCCGCCAAGGAAATCTCCACAGACGTGAGTAGATTTGTAGATTTTCAATAGAAAATGTGTCAATGGCAGAATAGGTGTTTCCTTTTTCGAAAGGAGAATTCAGATGCTCTTACTTGTTAAATATGAGTAACGAACATTATTTAGATACTACTTTTTTTGTAATTGTGACCAAAAGATAATAGAAATAATTCCGTTTAAGCGCGATCAACGTAATCATTTCTTGCCCAATAAATTTGGCAATAAGCATTCCTTTCTTCTCGCGGTATAATTTCTCGATTAATTCGGTTCGACGAATTAACTCTCAAAAATTAATTCAAAGACATTTTCAAATACAATTCTTAAATCGTCAAAAAAATGTGCAAAAATATCTATTTATTAGTTACGAATCAATACGATCCCTTTAAATTTACTCCCTCCTCGTGTTTAATATTCAAATATTTTCATTTTGGAGAGACATTGGTCAAAATAATTATACTCAAGCAAGAAATTATCCTTAAGATTGATAACTCGATGTTCAAACGTTCCCCTTTAAATTCCCCGATTATTTTAATCGATATCGAATTACGGTTAAGAGGGTAGCGAAGGAATAGCCGGCGTTTTAATAACAATAATCCGATCCATTCGGGTTACATTCCGTAAATTTAAATTTCAATCTCGAGAAGTTGGAATCGAGCGAAGGTTACGATGGTTATCGATTCGCTGAAAGTATCGTTTCCCCGGCCACGTCCAGATAGCCTTCATATAATTCCCCACTTTCTTGTAATTCCGCCATTCGTTACACGGCTCCATTTCGCCGGTGTGAACGTCGCGATGGAACACGGTTATGAATCCGAATCGTGAGCGCAAACGAGAAGTGCGCGCAGCAGCGGTGCACCGCAGCTTGCCCAATAATTTCGTGCCACGTGTGTTGTTCCTCCCCTGCATATGCGGTGGGTAATGTAATCAACTCTTAACAACCCGTTTCTTTTCGCTTGTATATTGTATATTTCTGAAAAGGTGCTATACATATATTTCGAATCGGATATTTCTGAATTGGATAAATTTAAATTTTGCCAACAAACAGTCGCATAGAATAACGACGAGGTGAACGAAAATTACGTCAGTTTCTTTTTATAACAGACGATATAATTCTATTTTAAAAGGGAGCCAAATTAATTTTTCTTTTTTTTTTTTCTACAAATAGAATTACAGCTTGTTAAAAGATTTCCATTATCGAATCAGCTAATTCAACTTCAAACGAAAACTTTATTCTCTCGGAAAGAAACCTCCTTAACCCTCTCTTTCGCTACTACGGGCGATTATAGTCGCTCTGCATAAGATGCCGCGTTGATATGACGATTGGACGATCGAGTATCTTTCTCTGGAAATATAGTATCGATATTTTGTTTTTATCACCAATTTTTTTTCAATAAACACTGTTAAAGCAATGATTTTTCACCTTTTTGGCGGGACGGAAAAATCGCCCATAGCAAAAGGGTTAAAGGGAGAGGTTTCTACAAAGTCTATTGCTATCCGAAACCGCTGAATATCGCGTGGCATCGAATGTCCCTCTCTCCACGAGGATTGAAAAGCCTGTGAAGTAACGGAGGGCGCGATACGTACACACTTGCGTGCGGTGATACGCACTGCGTGATTGCGTGTGGCGCGACACTGGTGACTTGTGGACACGGCCCACGCGCCCGTTTATTTTCCCGTTATGTTGATTACAATCCGGCCGCGTGCGTATCGGTCGCATATGACCGATAACGCATCTGTCTCGCATGCCTGGGGGCGCCACGTGCGCGCCAAACCCATTTATTCGATTCCGATCGCGTAAATTTTCGCCTGTGCGAACACCTCTCTGGACCGGCCCGTCCAATATTCTGTCGATTTTGTTGCACGCGGGCGCAAAGGATGCGGTTTCCGGTATTCAGGCGAAGTAAAGTTGGCCATCATCGGATGGAAATTGAATGGAAATCGAACGGAAAGGTCGACCAATAACGCGAAACCGTGAATGTTATTTGTCGATTTGGCCAAACTCGTGGTAATTTCGTTCCTCTAAGCCGTCGATCGAGTCCAGCTATTTTTGTAAATTTTCTTTTTTTTTTTTTCTTTCGATTCTTTTCCTTTTCTCGAATAATCCAAGTTTTTAATTCCATTAAAAATTGTACTTACATACAATGTTAATTAATTCTTACTAATTCAACGAACTCGAGAATATTTGTCCGTTGCTCGGAATATGGAGGAAGAAAAGGGAGATTTAAAAAAAGGAAACGGAGAGATAAAAGCAAAAAAAAAAAGAAAAAAGAAAAGAGATAGCACCGAGTCATTGATCATGAAATAGAGAATGTATCAAGGATTGAAAAGGGAACATCCGGTGACCCTGTTTCTCGAACCTTTTGATACGTAGCAGCATTGGATGAAACGGGTGGGATAAACCCCTCGCGGAAATACGTCAGTGGGTAAATGGGTTTCCCTTGAAAAACGTACGACCAGGTGAAATCGACGTTATGGGTCGGCTGATGGAGCCGGTTGTTAATCGCGATTATTCCGGTGCCGGTACACGTATATCGATCTTCCGATAGCTCGAGTTAATTGCGATTATTTCGTACTGCTACAGATCATTCGCGTCGTGGTTAGTTGATAGCCGCAGCTAATAGCGATTACGTAGCGCTACGCGCCGTTATCGATCGCGATTCGTTTCGTTTCGCTGTCGGCGAACCTGCTGACTCCATTTTGACGACGGTAGAATTGGGATAAGTGAAGATTGGGCACGTTGCGCGAATTTTCACCGATCGTTTATTCCGCTCGGAGAAGCGGAGGTGAAATATGGAAGTTGAAATGGAATCCCTTGTCTAGAAGGTAGAACTATTTTTTGAAATAATAGATTTAAATAATAAGTTGGACGAAATTTTGGAAACTCGTGAAACAATCAAAATATTGCAACTACTAAAAATTAGTATTACTACAAGAGTTATAATATGTAATGAAGCATTTAAGATATTTTGAGTTTATTCGGATAGATACTTGCTATTTTCGTAGTTCTATTCGTTGTAATTCGATATCGTTATAGGTTACTGCAAATACATTGGTGAAAATCAATCTAGGAAAGCTCGGGTTCCACAAGAATTATTGGGACATAAAGATACGTATCGTTCCGTAAATCAGGTCAAATACGTCATACGATTCCAGCGGAATCCTTTCTCGATTTCCACTATTCGAATTCGTTGTTAAATCGAATAATAAAAAAAAGATTTACTCCCATAAATCGTGCAGATAATTAGGAACAAATATACTTCCTGATAATATATTCCCCCCTTACTTTCGACACTCACAACTTCAATTTCAAATTCGAAGCAAAAAGTAAAATGTAGCGACGATGCCTTAAAACCGGGCTTCTTTTCAAATAAAAGACGAAGCTTTTTTTTTTTTTTACTTTAGCCCTTCGAAGGAAGCCATTCCACTTTTCCGACAAGCGGCACGCACATTAAATTCTTCACGAACCCTCAACACAACCGGTAATAGTTATCTCCGCCCCGCTTTTCTTTTGTTCGAAATTATATTTTCCGTGGTTAACGGCCAAACTGGATTTGCTGGTTGGACATCGGCCGATACTTTTCTTCTTCCATGGATCCAGGGTGAAAGGTACACTAAGCTCGAGCCAATTTTACAAGTGCCGCCATAAACTTGCAAAAGCTTAATTCAATTCCACGAGTGGAAACGGGGTCGGTGTAAGGATAAAATATTTACAGAACGCGAGGATGACGATGACGCGTATACGTCGAAAAGTTTGCTTTTCTTTATATCTGGGGGAGTATTTATGCGATTGTAAAAAAATTTTTAGAACGTACAGAATATTGAGAAATATAGGTTGAGGGCGAGTATAGTTTTTATTGCACAGAAATTTTGAAATAACGTGACCCGACTTAATTATCGAATACGAATTTACGAATTCTATCCCGAGGCTCTTTTGAATCGTTCGAAATCGGCCGAATCTCGAGATAACTGTTTATTAAAATTTCGTTCGAAATTCTAACTTCCGAGTGACCATTGCATCTATTCTTCGCGTAGATTTCATTTCTCTAATTGCAAGAATCCGCAATTCAAGGATTAGATGTATAACTTTTCTTTAAAAAAATTGAAATTTATTGCACGAAATTTTATTAACGATTCTACGTTATCTTTTATTTCCTTGTTAAATTCGACGTGAAATTCCAAGCATTTGTCACACAGTCGCGAAGTAGCGTGTTTTTGTCGTTGAGACCATGAAACGGATACGCGTTGTACTTCCGTCCCCATGATCCATACTCGAACGCATCTTCGTCGACGGATTGCAGTGGAAATCCAGCGTATCGACCGCGCGAAATGTCACCGATGCTTTTGTTTATGATACCCAACCCAGATACTATGAATCTTGGTCCTCGAGACAGATTCTCCAGAGATGTATGTACCACGCGTAAATCTTCATTCGACGAAAACGAGAGGGTTGCGTATATACGATTCCAGGTCAGAAGCTGGAAATCGGTTCAGATCGGTTAGACACTTTTCTCTTCTCTATAATGATCGTCGTTTCTGTGTACAGTATTAACAACTTTGCACTCGTATTTATATTTAAAAAGGTTAGCAATCAAGTAACAAGAGTAGAATAGAATTATATTATACATTTATGAACAAATTAAAGGGTTAATATTTGATATGTAAAATTTTTCTATCACATCTTTTTAACATATAGAAATGTATACGAAAGTCAAGAAAAGAGATAATCAGCGATAGATGGATCATGAAACGACTTCATGGCTAAAACAATGGGAGGGTATAATTGCTATGGAATATTTTGGATGGGCAAACAGTTGTTACGCGTAATCATATATTGCGAAATCAGTATGCGCATGATATGGTATTCAGGAACGAAAGGTTGGGATCGCAGTTAAATAAACAGCGGCTCCGTTTTCATCGTACATCATTTATGATGTGGACGTCACTTGGTGCCGGAGAAATTTATTCTTTTTGTCACTGGCCCGCTCGAACTGTTCCATTTGTCACGA